TCCAGACTGCAGCTCTCATCTGTCTCGCACTGGAGGAATCACGCTTGCATGGGTGAGTTAGTGCACAAGTTTCGCTTGGGCTAGCACCAGGTTCTGAAACTGCCACAAAGGTGCGTGTGGCCAGCGGCACAACTTCAGCACACCTGTGCAAATTCGGGAGCCCCGCACGACTTCCGCCCTGGCCCGCGCACCGCCTGCCTTTCGCGAATCCCTCCGGCTCGCCGACTTTCTGAGTCGGCGACAGTTACCTGTGTAGAGACGTGCCTGGCCGGCGGCCGGCGGGGTCAGGCGGGGTGGCGCCGGGGCGGCGGCGGGTCACGCCCGGCCGACCTCGCCGGTGTCGGAGTCGCCGCCGTCAGCCCCGACTGGGCCCCACTCGGCCGTGACACAGCCGCCTTCGCGCCCGAATAGCGATCGTGTGAGCGCGGCCCGCGCGTTGCTGGCCCGGGTATGACGCGGCCCGCTCTCGAGAAGGCAGTTATTGTGTTGCTGGGCCGGGCTAGGCTTTGGCGCAGCGTTCCATTGCATTATCCTGAATAAACATGCCTTCTTTATAGGAGAAAAGAGGGATGTAGCCCGCACCAAGCCTACACAGGAACATTCAGCGATACTGGGGCCGAAGGGATGGTATCCGTTGTACACTGCTCTGATACACTTACAGTCATGCTGATTCGTAAAGTTATGGTGTAAGGCTTGATGGCTTCTATACGTAATTTACCTGATTTTCAGGCGCATACGTGGTCGAGCCATGGTTACAAAACTGTGCATTCCTCTCCCTTGTGCCATATCCGCTTCAAAGACTACTTAAGCAAAACCCTAGTTCAAGATTACCTGAAATTTGATTGGAAAACCTACATGGCTTATAGCGAATGCAGAGACAAATGACCATTTCAGGCCGATCGTCCTCCAGTCAAAGTATGCGTCAGCAGGATCTTTCATCGATGTCTGCACTGGCTCACTCTGCAGCGTGTGTGTGTCAGTATCGGCTCAAACGCGCCTAAGGTCTCGCGTTAGATTCAGACTTCACGCAGCCTTTGTTAATGTCATAGCCTCGGCGGTTCGCCGGCTCATCCTCTGTTTGGAGCGCGGCTGGGCAGATGCCATTTATCGAACTTCCGACGACGTCCCGCTCCCATAGCGGCGATTGAAAGCGCGGGTGGGTCAGCCGGGTCGCCGGTAATGCACCCACTCCGGTACAGTTATAATGGCATAATACCTTCGTTTCGCCTTTTACAAACCACGACGCCCACTGAAGATGGCGAACTGGCACGTAGGAGTATTAGCGCCCCCGAAAAAGGAGGGAGGGCGCTCACGCTGTGGGCCACCTGGGCTGCGCGGCTACACTCCAGGCCCTCTTCGCAGTTGATGAAATTGTGGAACTGAACGTGAAGCGAGCATGAGCGCTGAAAATAAAGAGCCAGTAAAAGCTACACGCAAAATATGGCGCTTTTCTGATGAACAAGCTAGGCTGTGTACACTTGAATTCACTTTTTTGTCCATGATTTGAGTAAATGATCGAGAACGGCTTTTTTATTTCTAGTATTGCACCGTGAAGTATCCAGACATTTAGTACATAATTCGATCAGCTTACTAAAAAGTGGGAGTGGTCCTTAAAGTAATCTGTGCACAATCTCCTGCGATCCGCATTCTAGAAAAGCTGTTCATGTGGTTGCCATTTCACACCAACGTTGCACATTTGATTTTCAGACATCGTCGCACGATCCCCGCAGGCTATTCGAAGAACGACATCAAGGTTTTAGCTTTTAGTCGGCACATAGATGGAGGTCTATGCTAACTGTTAATTTGGAATTGACTGATCAGCTAACATACAGCGGACATATGTATGTGGCCATGGCACAATTGTTTGTTCATCCACTTGCAAAAAAAAATTCTTAAATGATAATCGACTAGTTATTTACTCTCACGTTGTCAAATAGTTTCTTGAGCTTTAGTTAACAGTGGAATAAACGGCACGGCTTTTAAAATAGTGTGCCATGGCGAATGCGTGTATTTTTCTGTCAGAACAATTCAATGAAGGGCAAGACTAACATGCAAGGTTAGGCCGATCGGTAGTTACCTCTCATAGATGCAGTGCAGAGCGATTACTAGATATGGTCTGGTTACCAGCTATCAGCAACCCTGAATGACCAGATAAGTAGCTGTGCCGCATCGCAACGACTATATATACAACGGGATGAAACCACAAGGCCGCTAAGCAACACCTTGGACCACCCAAGTTGCGTCTTAAAGAACCAACGTTGCTGGTTTGTATGACATACCACACTGTTTGAAGGCCAGCACCTGAGCCCGTGGCCGCCATCAGACACAGTCCCCCCGTCTCCTGCTCCCCTGGCCGGCCTCGTTCCCTGACGAGTGGGGTCAGCTCCAGCGCTGGGGCTGCGCGCGCGCCGGATCGCGGCCAGTTCTCGGGCCTCGTAAATGTCACGCTCGTATTGGATCCGAACAACGGGCCCACTCACTCGATTCGAGCTCGATCCAGCGGCTGCTTCTCGGCGGGAGCCGTCGGCAGTCGTCGCCGCCGAGTTGGCCTAAGCAACAGAGGAAAGGGCGGAGGGGTGGTATGGGAAGCGCTGTTCAACAACACTCTCGCCTTGAAATTACGATGAAATTTACTACAGTATAGAAACGGGAACCCTGGATATGGCTTAAAGTTTGAGGGGATTGGAGCAGTCTACGAATGTTGTCAAAAGTTATTTTTCCAGCTAAGAGCAGCTCCCAGGTAACCTAGATGAGCTGCATCTAGCAATGCCGTAACGCTCCAACTTCGACTTCAGGTCCTGCACTGACGTTTTGCAGACTAAGTCGCGGCTGCACTTTTCCAAGCAGCAACGCCACCGATTTACGGCCCTTGCAGGCGGCAGCTACCTTACTCCACGTCCGTAGCCCAAGTAGCAACCATCCACATTCATCGTCCCATGACCGGACAGCAGCTACATCATGCCACGTGCCGTATCCAGACAACAGCTACACCGTGTCCGGGCAGCAGCTACACCATGCCACGTGCCGTGTCCAGACAATAGCTACATCGTGTCCGGACAGCAGCTACACCATGCCACGTGCCGTGTCCAGACAACAGCTACACCGTGTCCGGACAGCAGCTACACCATGCCACGTGCCGTGTCCAGACAACAGCTACACCGTGTCCGGACGGCAGACCATGCCCAGACATCAGGATGTGCCCAGACGGCAGATCGCACCGGAGCAGTGCCGGTCCTCCTCGTCCGTGTCCGGCCGTGTTTAATTATGTATTCGGAGTGGGTAGGCCGTCCGGCAAACTGGGTCAGACGGCCGGCCGGAGATCGGAGCTGAGCCACCTCCGATCGCTCGAACTCGGCGCCGGCCTGCCGTCCTGACCGAGATGCCGCTGACCAGGGAAGAGCCGACTTTACAGCCGGTCCTGGCCGAGATGTCAGCGCGCTATCCCACCGGTCCCGGCCGAAATGTGGCCGCGCCACCACGCCGGTCCTGGCCGAGATCGTGCTGCGTCGGGAAGTTCAGACTATCAGTCATGGCCGAGATGTTGTGTCATGGCCAAGATGTCGTGAGACGCGTCTGGACCACTGAGTGATGTAGTCTGGCTCTTTTTTTATCTCTGGACCACTGAGTGATGTCTGGCTCTGACGCGAGCACCAGAATATCCCGACATTTCTGGTGTACCCGTCGAAACAAAAGCACGTCGAAGGGTTTCCCGCTGTGGTTGGGGGCGCGCTGCTGATCAAAGCGGAACACGAATGAGTTGCCGCCAGGTGGAGTTCTTTGCTTTTCCGACGGCGAACTTTCGCTGGATCACCCCATTCGCGGGCGCGGGGCACCTTGTAAGGCGTGTCGAGAAATCCCGTTGGCCGCACCGGGACGCGTCGCAATTGGCACCACGGGACGTCGAGGCGAGCCAAGGCACCGCAGTTCACAATGACGCCTCATACGGAACCAGCCGCGACACTCGGGCCAGTTAAGCGCCCAGCAACGTCGTCATCGTGGGGCTCCATCCGACCACCTTGGGCCGGCAGTGACAGCTATCCAGACCCGCGGCGACGCGACCAGTCCAAGACCGCGCCTCCTCGGCCGCCAGCATTTACCGTTCTGTCTCAGCCCAGATACGGGCCGGCATTTTGAGGAATTTTTCTCATCGGAAAGGCGGCTAACGTCCGTCGGTCGGTCGGCTGGCCACATGCGGTCCGCACGGCCTCCGGCAGGGCCGCGCCGGTGCCGCCGGCGGCGGCGATCCGAACGCGGCCGCTAAATTGGTCGCGGAGACGCTGCAGGCGGCGCAGGCGGCGGCACGGTTCCACGGCCGCGATCCAGCCAGCCCTTCGGGCCGGCCCCGTGGCGGCTCACGGGGAAACTCGGGTACGCACGGCAGCGCGTGGTCGTGCCGGCTGCTCTGGGGCCTCGCGTCCGTTATGCTCCAATAATATCTCTACTTTTGGAGCTGGAAATTGCTGTTGCGATGTTGGTCGCTGCTGTTGCTGTAATGGCAGAAGTGAATGCATGTGAAAGGCCTAAACAAGTTGAGGTTTCTTTATGCCTTGCAAGTGCTCACTAGTTCACCTGCGATTTGCAGCAGACGTCATGTTTTCGTCCAGCCATGCTGTCCTGGCTTCATCGGCGATCGCTGCATTTCTCTCGCATCAGCGCTCGGTCATCAGTCGATGCATCCAGTCCTTGCTCCGATAGACGACCACAGTGTCTCTTCCAGTGCCGAGGGTCACGCATCGCCGTCGGACGGACACACGCTGAGTCTCCCGTCCCCGCGTCTCCCAGCGCTCCCCAGCGTTCCCACCGCTTCCATAGCGTCCCACACCACTCCTCCAGCGCCTCCCATCGCTCCCCCAGCGTCTCCTACCGTTCACCTAGCATCTCCCACCGCTTCCCTAGCGGCCCATCGCTCCCATAGTGTCTCTCACCGCTCCCCCAGCGTCTCCCACCACCCATGTAGCGTCTCCCACCGCTCCCCGTCTGACACCTACCTCGCGTTGCAGCTGGCGGTGGCGCGGACGAGGAGGCGACCCAGGTGGCGCAAGATGTGACCTCGGAGGAGCAGGCGGTGGTGCAGGGCGTGCTGGAGGAGGCGTCACAGCCGCAGCCGGCCGAGGCACGCTCGGATGACGGCCTCGACCAGCTGGCGCTCGAGTCACAGCTGGACGAGCGCGACTCTGGAGGCGGCCACGGTCACGGCGCCGGTCACGGAGGCGGTCACGGCAGCAGCGTCAGCGGCCACGGCGGCGGCGGCGGCGGCTACGGCGGCGGCGGCGGCGGCGGCAGCCACGGCGGTGGCGGCGGCGGCTACGGCGGCGGCGGTGGCGGTGCGCCGTCGGGCGACTACGGTCCGCCGCGACCGCCCAAGGGCGGCCCACGGGTGCCGGGGCCCATCCCGGTGCCGTACGCCGTACCTGTCCGGCCAGGCACCGTCGTGCTCCCGCAGGCGCCCAGCGGCGCCTACGGCGGCGGCGGCGGAGGAAGCTCGGCCGGACACGCAGGTGGCCACGGAGGTGGAATTGGAGGCGGGCACGGAGGCGGGCACGGAGGTGGAGGCCACGGCAGGCCCAGACCCATCTACAAGCCCCGTCCTCGGCCCCGACCTCGCCCTCGTCCTCACAAGCCTAAGCTCGTCTACGGCCCGGCGACTGATCATGACTTTGCGCGCCGGCCGAAGCCGAGTGGAGGTTACAGAGCTCCCTCCGGTGGCCACGCGTCAGCGTCGATCCACGGTGGAGGTGGACACGGAGGAAGCGTCGGACATGGCGCTGGCGGCGGACATGGTGCTGGCGGTGGACATGGCGCTGGCGGCGGACACAGCGGCGGCGGCGAATACAGCATCGGAGGCGGAGGGCACGGCACCGGCGCCGGTGGACATGGCGGAGGCGGAGGGTACAGTGGTGGAGCCGGTGGGCACGGCGGCGGAGGCGGCGGACATGGCAGCAGCGGACATGGAGACGGCGGACACGGCAGCAGCGGACACGGTGGTGGCGGACACGTAAGCAACGCACACGGTGGTGGCGGACACGGAGATTCTCACTCCACTGGCTCTCAGCACTCGGGCGCGTACGTGGCTCCGCCACCGCAGGGGTCCTATTCCAGTGGAGGTCACGACGTCGCTCACGGAGGTCACGATACCGGTCACGGCGACCACGGCGCAGGTCACGGAACCCACACTGAGGACCACGGTGCCGTGTCAGACAGCTACTCCGCGCCGAGCGAGCCACAGAGCTACGATGCGCCGGCCGCGCCGCAACAGAGCTACGACGCGCCGCAGCCGCAGCAGAGCTACGACGCGCCGCAGGCGCAGGCGTACGAGGCTCCGGCGAAGCCCGAGCAGGCGTACGAGCCGGCGCCGGCACACCAGGTGGCCGAGCAGTACGGCGCGCCCGAAGCGCAGGCGCAGGTGAGCTACCAGGCGCCGGCCGCGCCCGGCGACGACTACGGCGCGCCGAAGGACGCGCACGCGGCGCCGGTCGAGCCGGCGGCGCAGTACCAGGGACCGGCCCCGGCGGCGGAGCAGGGGTACGGCGCACCGGCGGCGGCAGAGCAGGGGTATGGCGCGCCGGCGGCGGCGCAGCCGGAGGTGTGGCCCGCGCCGGCGGCTGATATGCCGCGCATCGTGTCGCTGGACGTGCAGTGCGACAAGTCGCTTATGCGCGTGTCAGTCAAGTTCGACAAGCCCTTCTCCGGCATCATCTTCAGCAAAGGGCACTACAGTAACTACAACTGCGTGCACCTGCAGCCGGGCTCGACCAGCGCCGACGCGCAGTTCGACATTAGCATCAACGCGTGTGGCACGACCGGCAACACGGAGAACGGCCAGTACGGCTACGGCTCCGACTCGGGCTCCGGCACCTACTTCGAGAACACCATCATCATCCAGTACGATCCACAGGTGCAGGAGGTGTGGGACCAGGCGCGCAAGCTGCGCTGCACGTGGCACAACCAGTACGAGAAGGCCGTCACCTTCCGACCGTTCCCCGTGGACATGCTGGACGTGGTGCGCGCCGACTTCGCCGGCGATAACGTCGGCTGCTGGATGCAGATCCAGGTGGGCAAGGGTCCCTGGGCGGCCGAGGTGTCCGGCCTGGTCAAGATCGGCCAGACCATGACCATGGTGCTGGCCATCAAGGACGACGACAACAAGTTCGACATGCTGGTCCGCAACTGCATGGCGCACGACGGCAAGCGCGCGCCCATCCAGCTGGTGGACCAGGCCGGCTGCATCACGCGCCCCAAGCTCATGTCCAAGTTCACCAAGATCAAGAACTTCGGCGCGTCGGCGTCCGTGCTCTCCTACGCACACTTCCAGGCGTTCAAGTTCCCCGACTCGATGGAGGTGCACTTCCAGTGCACGATCCAGATCTGCCGGTACCAGTGCTCGGAGCAGTGCGGCTCGGCCATCGAGCCGCGCCCGGCCGGCGGCTACGACGCGCCGCCGGCGCAGGGCTACGAGGGACCGCACGACGAGCGACGAGTGCGACGTTCCGCCGAGGCGCGCGACGTCGGCATCGACCGCGTCATCCAGGTGGTCTCCACGCGCGACCTGGCCTTCGCGCTGGAGACGCCCGCCGGCAACGACACGGAGACGGTGGTGTTCCCCGTCGAGAGCGACGACCATCGGATCTGTATGTCGACGCCTGGCTTCGCGGCCACGCTCATCGTGCTGCTGGCCATCCTGGTCATCTCCTCGCTGCTCTCGGCCTTCCTGTGCCTGCGGTACCGCGCCTTCGGCGGCGACCGGTCGGTCCTCTCCGCCTTCGAGAACCCCATCTTCCTGCACAAGAAGAGCGGCCACTTCTGAGCAGCGGCGGCCGCTGCAGCTCGCGTCGCCAGCGAGTCGAATCGGCGCATGCGCGGCGATCGCGAGGCTACCACTGCTCCCGGCCCGTCGCGGACGTGTCGCTGCGGCGATGCCCCGCTCGGCGGAAGCCTCGCAGAGGCTTCGCTCGTCGCCCAGCTCGCTCAGGATCGCTCGTCGCCGACCAGGCGCCGACGCCTGGGCGCGCCGCTGCGACGTCAGGACGTCACGGGGGCGAGAGTCCGCCGAGCTGGTTATCCTGCGGGGTCGGGAACACGAGGGCGCG